TTCATAATAGGTGATTGTACAATTATTGAAATATACAAGAACATACACACAAACCTGCCTTTAGCCTATTCCTCACCCCAATTAATCTCCCTAGACTAATTAGTTTTAGATGTTTATAAAGTGTAGAACAAATATCAGATTCACCTTTAGTCCCCATGATGACTTTACTACTAGTTAAAGTAAGATGAGTAATTTGGTACTTCCCTTAAAAGATTGAACTGGTTAATTCCAAAGCATTCTGGCTCAAAGAGATGAGAATAATCCAATAAGTCAATAAGAATAACCTTACTTCATCAATAGGAACTAGATAGAAATATAACTCTAAAGCTCTATATCCTTTCTTTGTATGTCTTTTAAAAAGAAGCAAAAACATTGAGCTTATAAAATATAGAAAACATTTTTAAATCAGAAAGAAAGAAATTTGTACATTTCAGGAAGATTTTTCTACCACTATTATAATGCTATAACTAATTATAGGATTTTCTTACAAACTTCTGAGAATTAGAAAAAAATTATTCCCTATGTATTCTTTGGAATTGCCATTTCAATGGTGATGAGAAACATGTATTTGAAAGACAATATGATTAACAATATGCTTTGTCTAATGTCTACTCTCAGTATTTGACTTGTATACTTGGAGGAAATCCACGAAATATTTGACCATAAAATTGTCAACACTGCAAGAGGATTTTCCTTGCCTGATGTAAGGCTGCCAGATATTTAGTATGAACTCAGATTTATGGATAAATAAGAATCTCCATCCAAACTATGAACAATTATTGTCCTTGATTTCCTATTCCACATCACCAGCAATGATCCTAGGTTCTTAAACATTCACCACAGAAATAACCTAAGTTTATATATGTTGCAGTATAGACTTTTTTTCCTTCTCCTTCCAAGGCTCATTTTTTTTTTTAATTCATTATTTTCTCATTTCTTAAATCAGAGATTCTTAGGATGAGTTTATGGTGTCCATGAATCCTTAACATTACATATACAACATGTAAAATATATGTATATTTTCCTTGGGAATAGTATAGTTTTAATATTTTTTACAAAGGTATGTGCATCAAAAAACCCATGAAAGACTGCTCCATTAAAAGTTGCTTTCTGTTCAATATTCCCTCTTCAACAATATTTTTCTTTTATTATTTGCTATGCGTTCAATCTCTACAACTGTGAGAGCTTCATTTCCCATTTAGATGATATCCTGATTATGGACAACAGCTACCACACTCAGAATCGCTCTTAAGCTCTAGATCTGTATTTCTAAATGCTACTGGACTGACCCCTTAACCTCATTATGTCATTCCAAAATAATGACTGGAGGCCAATTCATTGGATTTGGCACTGGAAAGACAAAGCAGTCTGCCTCAAAGACGTTTTTATCCTTTACTGAGCACATAGTATGCTCTAGGAATTGTGCTACAGATTTTACCTTAAAAATCGCATCCCATTTAATTCTCCCAACAAATCTGTGAGATTTACAGATAATGAAACTGAGGTTTAGAGAAGTTATATAACCTGCTTAAAATTATGTAATAATTTAGTTGGGAAGACCAAATTTGAATTGATTTTGTCTGTCTCTAGGGTCCAAGTTTTTATCACTATGTACTTCTTTTAATGGTTCATGGTTGGAAGCAGGTCATTGCAATAACATTTACACTATGGTAAGCACAGGATCACCTACTACTTAAAAATCCTCTACAATTACCAGTGGCCTCAATAACCAAGTCCATAGTCTTTGTCATCCTGTAGGCTGGAAATTCATTTGTCCCTCTTGTCTTCTTAGGATAATTATTTTATTTTCATAACCTATTCAAATGAGTGTCACCTTCTAAGTAGTTCACTGAGGCAAAATTAGTGAATGTGCCTCCCTGTTCTCCTATAACACTTATGTCCTTACCATAGGGCTTGAATGTAATCATTTGTTTACTGATCTTTCTCCATTCCCAGATAAATCTCTTGGGGAGAGGAGCTATGTTATGTTTCTCTAGCACCAGTGATGATAGTGCATTGCCTACAACATATGGCAGGGTATTCAGTAAGTGTTTGTATAGTGAATAGTATTCAAGCTTTATCTGCCTTTGATGTTGAGCATCTTTATAGGACAGAAAACCTCAATATAACATATCTTTGATATGGCCATTTTCTGTATACATAAATATCATTTAAGTAATATTACATAAATGCTCCACAAAATATGGATAGCTTTTAGATTTTTATGTATACATTTTACATTGTTTTCTAGAAGTTTGACTTTAACTCTTCAAATGTTTGACCAACTGACACATATATAGAGGGGAAACTATTATATGGGGCTATGAATAAGATATTTTCTAACTTGCTTGCTTGGTAAAAGAATATTTGTGTAAGAAATGAGATTTCAGAAAAGTCATAATAATTAAAAAAAAAAAAAAAAGAAAATACTTGGAAGAGGTATGAGAAAACCCATGACAGTCTGTTCAAGAAGAAGATGGCAATGATTAATATTGGAGAGGGGTACCAACGTAATTCAATGGGAGAAACAACAGTCTTTTCAGCAAAAGTGCTGGGACAACTGGATATCCAGATGAAAAAGAATGAAGTTGTACCCTTACCTCACAAAATTTACAAAAATTAACACAAAGTGGATGAAATATCTAAATGTAATAACCAGAACTTTGACAAAACTTTTAAAAGACAATATAGAGATAAATTTTTATAACCTCAGATTTGACAATGGTCTCTTAAATAGGACATCAAATTGGTGAAAGAACAAGCGATGATTTTAAAAAATTAGACAAATTGGACAATGATAAAAGTACAAGCAGTGATAAAAAGCATAAGCAATTACAGAAATTACATAAATTGGACTTTATCAAAATAAAAACTTTTGTGCATCAAAGAACGCTGTCGATATAAAGAATTACATTCTCGAGTATTAAAAAACCCCACACAATGGGAGAAAATATTTGCAAATCATGTATCTAAGAGTCTAGTATCCAGAATATATAAGTAACTCCTACAACTCCACAATAAAATAACCGAATTTAAAAATGAGCTAAGAGTTTGAATAAACATACCTCCAAAGACAATAAAAAATGGCCAATAAACACAGGAAAACATGCTCATATTATGGAAATCAAAACCAGAATGAAATATCACTTTATCCCCACTAAGGTGGCTACAATAAAAAGAACAACAATAACAAATGCTGGCAAAGATGTAGAAAAATTTGAACTTTCATATGTTGCTGATGGGAACATAAAAAGGTACAGCCACTTGGAAAACAGTGCGGCAGTTCTTCAAAAAGTTAAACATACAGTTATCATATAATACAGTAATTTTTCTAGATATACACTTAAGAGAAATGAAAACATATGTTCTCATAAAAACTTGTATACAAATATTCATAGCAGCATTATTCAAAATAGCCCAAAATAGAAACAACCCAATTGCCCATTAACTGATGAAAGGAATAGACAAATGTGGTATATCTGCACAATGAAATATTATTCAGGCATAAAAATGCTATAACATAGATGAACCAAAAACATTATGGTAAGTGAATGAAGCTAATCAAAAAAGACCATATATTGTGTAAGCCTCCCACCCCTGCCTTTTCTTTGAGATGGAGTCTCCCTCTGTCACCCAGGCTGGAGTGCAGTGGTGCAATCTTGGCTCACTGCAACCTCTGCCTCCCAGGTTCAAGCGATTCCCCTGCTTCAGCCTCCTGAGTAGCTGGGATTACAGGTGCCTGCCACCATGCCCTGCTAATGTTTGTATTTTTAGTAGAGGCAGGGTTTCTTCCTGACCTCAAGTGATCTGCCCACCTTGGCCTCCCAAAGTGCTGGGATTACAGGCATGAGCCACCCCATCCAGCCTTGTATGAGCCTATTTATATGAGATTTCCAGAATATGCAAATCCATAGAAGCAGAAAATAGATCAACATTTTCTAATAGCTGGCAGAAGGAGGAATGGGTAGTGACTGCTAATGAGTATGGAGCAGCTTTTTGGGATGATGAAAATATTCTGGAATTGGTACTGATAGCTTCATAATCTTGTGAATATACTAAAAACCACTGAACTGAACACTAAAGTGATAAATGTTATGGTACATAAATTTTATTTCAGTTTTTTAAAAAGTACTTTTTTACATAGCATTGTTGTAAGACTAAATTAAAGAAAGTATGTAAAGTGCACAGGACCTGTATTCGATAAATACTAATTCTTATTATTTTTTTAAAGGATTGAATGGTAAAGATGGCTTTCATTCATTTGGGGGAAATAAAAATAATTACAGTTTATATGAGATATGGAAAGAGGATACAAGTCTGTTAAAATATTGTTTTCAAAATACTTCGTATAGGGCTAATGAATCAAAAGGACCACTTCATCCACATTTTCCTGACAAGTGAAATTTGCGCTAATGTAGGTACACCAAGTTGTGCTTCTTATAAGTATCACTACAATAACAAACACCTAGGGATGGACACAGCACTCCATCCAATAACTGTGTGAACTCCTTACGAAATTATTATTATGACTAATATGTTGGTTGCTATATCACATAATAGATATGAAAAAATACAATGTAATCACAATAACAAAAATGTCAAGAGTTTCATATCATCATTAATAGAGCTACTGGCTGTAGCAAAAATATTTTAAATCATCAAAGCTAACCTATAGTGTTTTCACAGGTACAATATGTAGTGGTGAACATTTAACTTTAAATAGCACAGCACATTGTAAAAGTCACTCTATGTCATAAGAAGTGTATATAAATAACTTTATGATTCTACATCCCTGAAAAATGTGCATGCTGCACTAAATGTTTAATGTGTCCTTGTCCAAAGGGGAATACAATATTAATTTTGTTTTGAGGACAAGTTGACTCCAGACAAAAATAGGTAAGTTAGGTAGGTACAACAATCTTAGAAAATTCTGTTCCTGAGGTGGTGGGATTTTTTGGGAACTTAGCTTTCTCAAGAACATAATTTCAAAAGACACTCTGTAAATTCATCAAAGTTTAATGATGAAGAGACACAATAAATGTTATGAAGTTTAGTGGGGGATACTTTGGAAGTAAATGCCAAAGATTAAAATTTAGAGAAGACCAAAACCACAAAACAGTTCACAAAGTTTTAATTGAATGAAAAATTGTAAAAAATCACATCCAATTTCTTCAAACAATTTGTTTCTTCTGAGATTTCAGGTTTAATTTTGATTATCCCATGACATGTAGTTCACAACACTGGGAAAAGAAGGGAAAAAAAGAAAAAATATATTTTATTTGCATAGTTCATATTTTTAATATTAATGTACATATCTAAGAATGTTTTCTTCATAGAGCTTTCATTCTACTTTTGTTTTATGTGTAATTAAAATTCAAGAGGATATGACATCCCAAATACTTTTTAAATTATACTTTATGTTCTAAAGTACATGTGCACAACGTGCAGGTTTGTTACATATGTATACATGTGCCATGTTGGTGTGCTGCACCCATTAACTCATAATTTACATTACGTATATCTCCTAATGCTATCCCTCCCCTCTCACCCAACCCCACAACAGGCCCCGGTGTGTGATGTTCCCCTTCCTATGTCCAAGTGTTCTCATTGTTCAATTCCCACCTATGAGTGAGACCATGGAAACCATCATTCTCAGCAAACTATCACAAGAACAGAAAACCAAATCATTTTTAAATGTTTTTCTGTATATGGTCAGCAGAAAACACAAAATAAAGTGATCCTTCCACCTCAGTTTCCCAAGTAGCTGGGACTACAGGAACGCGTCACCAAACCCAGCTATTTGTTTATTTTTCATAGAGATAGAGTCTCACTATGTTGCGCATTCTCCACCTATCATTTCTTTATTAATTGTAACCTTAATGAAATAGTTCCTGATTTTTAGATTTACCTCCAACTTCCCCATCCCATCTTAAATACTGCCCACAAACTGTTTTGAAAACTCTTTTCTAAATACACAAAAGTTTCCTTCTCAAGAACCCATAATTTCTCCTTGTTCATCAAATCAATTTTAAGTATCAATCCTAAGATACCCCATCAACTAACCTAACTTTGCTTATCTAGTTGTATTTTCCCCATTCCCTAAAACATACCTTCTACTTCAGACTAATTTTCATTTCCTCAATGTCAGACTCATACTTCTCACTTTATCATGTTTAATTATAAAACCTACTCATCACTTACTTAAATTGTACCCATTCTATAAGATCTATCTTGTGAAGTACTTGTTTGTGCCATATGTTCTTCACAATAACTTATATTATATCTTGTATTGTTTATGACATTTAATCAATAAACCATGTTTCTCATGTAATTGAAGAATAGGCTGGTGAAATCTTAAGTGCTTAACCAATGTGCACTGAACTGAACTAAATTTATATAGTTAACTTGAATTTATATACTTCAATATTGTACTGTTGAGGTTAAACATCTTAAAAATTACTTTCATATTATTTTATATTATTTATTTGGTCACTTCCAAGTTTTCTCAGTGACAGAGCTCATGAGGTTGAGACCTCAGTGAGCTGTAGCTGTGCCACTTTATTCCATCATATGATGTAATTTTATACATGTGGAAGTAAATGAATAAGCTTTCATGCACAGAGCACTGGAAATTTTGATGTAGTTTATTGTGTCCAATATATAAAATTATCTACAAAAGTAATGAGTACTTAGTGTAATTCTCCTGTTTTCTGAGTTCACCTGTTGAGGAAAAACTGAAGGGTGTTTTCGTAGTCAAGGTTCAAGTGAATTTAAGTCCTGAGGGATGACAACTAAAGTATATATACACATAAATATTTTAGGAAACTTTCTTAGGAGACACAGACACACAGACACACACACACACACACACACCTCCTAAGAAAGTCTCAAGGAAAAAGTATCAGTGGAACGAGCCCTTTTAGGAGAAGCAGAATAAAAGACTGATTACAAATCAAAAAGCCAGAGAAGAAGCCATAGACAGAAATGGAGACAAGATCCAGAAGCCAGGCTGAAACAGGAGGGCAACGAATCAAGTCAGGAAATAACTGATATGAAGCACACTGGTGCCTTAATAGGGGCTGAATATGTGGGCTAGTTTAAAGGTGAAAAAGTCTCTTTACTCCATAGATACAACAACACATATTTCTAAAAAGAAATTCATTGAAAAGAGGGAGGAGAATTATTTTATTCCTTTAGAAAGTATAAGATCAAAGCACAGAGCAACATTTTTCCAAATCTGCTCAAATCTTGCCAGACATGGCATTGTGTCATTCCACTTCCACTTACAGAATTAGCCATAGTGCTTCTAATTATGACCACTGCAAAAAAAGTAAAAATACTAGTAAAATGTAAATTGAAGTGAAAACTATTCATTTACAGGAAAGGTATCATAAAACTCACAGACATTCTTAGAACTGGAGATTTATAAAATCTAGATACCAACTGAATATGCAATTGTTTCTTCTGCATTGTTTGCCCAGGAGAACCAATACTTCACAAACTGTGTTTAGACTATATTAACTGAGCAAAATTAATGACAAGAGAATGCCATGAAACAATTTTGATGGTGGCTTTTCATATCATGAATACCTATCTTTCAAAAGAGGAAGCAATATTAAATATGCTTAATATGGTTTAATCCTCTCAAAGACTTCGTAAGGTATGAATGAAATTCGAACATATGTGTCAGTTAGGTTTTAGTACAGGAAACAGAGTAAGTTTCAGGTATTTTAAGTAAACAGGGATTTAAAACAGGGAATAACATGCTTACTAAACCTTTGAAAAGATTAGAGAGAGAGGCTCTAGGCTGGGAATTCAGAAATGTTTCCAGAACACTGTAGAACTGACTTATTAGAGAAAAATGACCTTTGCTTCAATCAGAAAAGTGGGGACTCCAGAAGTCACTACAAAATTTATTGACTTCAAAATCATACCACTGTAGCTACAATTAAGAGATCAGGGAGCCACTACTGCTCACACCCCTACAGCCTCTCAGACCCTAGAACTCGGATGCTGGAACCCATCACAGAAAAATCATGTTTCCACATCTCACTTATTAGCAGAAAACAATGGACGCAGCAGGAAGATGACCTCCACTTGACTTTTGCCTCCAAATTTCAACAAGTGTATCTAATTGGATGAAACTTATTTACATTTAGAAGTTTAATGGCACAGGAATCTGGGAGAATGTAGTTTTTAGCTTTCCAGCTGCTGTAGTATAGAAATACACAGTATGAAAAAGTACAAATGGTTGCCAGTTGGCCATATCCACCATACTGAGATTCAAAGGTTTTACAAATTTCTTATCCAAGGTCACAGAACTTGTGAGTGGTAGAGCAACAAACTTGAATTCAAAGATTTTGGCCACTTGCCCAGTGCTCTTTCCACTACATCAGTCTACAGCACTGATTACTCTCTGAAGACATTTGCCAAAGGAGACATATTTTCAAATCTTGTGCTAATTATATTTTTCACTGAAGCATTAATTCAGGCATCTGTGAACATTGTTACCTTTTAGTCTTATGTCAAACCTAGTTCTTCTTCCAAACTCAGACTTAATCTTATTTTACAGTAATTACAGTTAAACCAACACTGCTAGGGTTTAATACCTTTGAGTATTTTTCTCAGCAGGCTTGCTGCTTAATCCATTTAATGTCAGAACAACACAAACCTTCTTATTAAAATGGGGGAAAGGACATTATTAGAGACTGCATTAGTGTTTTTTTCTTCTTTGGGGTAAAACCTACCAATACGGCAATATTTGTACCTTATCTTTATTTTGTTTTCTGTTGACCATATACAGAAAAACATTAAAAAAGGAAAGATTTCGGATGTTAAATCCTCTTGAATTCTAATTACACATAAAAGAAAAGTAGAATGAAAGCTCTCTGAAGCAAATATTCCCAGATTTGTACTTTAATATTAAAATTAAAAATAGGAACTATGCAAATAAAATATTTGGACAAAATGAAAAAATATAATGCCTCAGTAATATCTCATTAATATTCAATTAAATCATCACTTTCACTTCAAATGCACTTTAAAGTAATTTGGGGAACATATTTTAAAATGCACATACAATGGCTAAGTACAAAAATTCCTAACATATACCGTAAGAGAACAATATAAATTACTACCTAACACTTCTGATTAGACTTAAGCAACAATACTATGTTAAAATTAAAGAGGTGATTAAATTCATATAAATAAAAGGTAGATATCATTATTATAGTTAGAAGAGATTTGATTGTGCTCTTTAAACAAGGAAATAATTATTGTCCAAAAGTTGTTAGATCAAGTGGATCCAGTAGTTTTGTGCTAAGAGCATATTAAAAAAATATAATAGGCCAGGCGCGGTGGCTCACATCTGTAATCCCAGCACTTTGGGAGGCTGAGGCAGGCGGATCACAAGGTCAGGAGATCGAGACCATCCTGGCTAACATGGTGAAACCCTGTCTCTACTAAAAATACAAAAAATTAGCCAGGCGTGGTGGTGCGCGCCTGTAGTCCCAGCTACTTGGAGGCTGAGGCAGGAGAATGGCGTGAACCTGGAAGGCGGAGCTTGCAGTGAGCCAAGATGGCGCCATTGCACTCCAGCCTGGGCGACAAAGTGAGACTCTGCCTCAAAAAAAAAATAAAATAAAATAAAAATAAAAATATATATATATAAAAAAAAACATAAAGAAACAATGTATGTGGTTTTTAAGGATCAAATAAAGAAGTTATCTGAGTCTTGTGTAGGTTAGAATACATCAGTTTCACAGATTATTTATCTCCACATATTAATCAGATACAGAACATTAACTTTGTAAGAGTTGACACATTTTTAAATCAAAGACAACTATTGTGTTCAGCATAGAAAGCAGTGAAGGCTATGATTAACCTCGAGAGAAGTTTGGGGTGCTTGCTAGAGAAAACAATTGATCCTGAGATTTTTTCTGAACATTTCTATTTGTCATTGGAACCCATCTTTTGTAAAAGACTGTTTTCACTCCTGAAAGTCATTATGTACTCTCTCTCTCTGTGTACACACACAAACACCTCTATATATAATATATACACATAAAAATGTTGAGGGGTATATTAGAGAGACAGATCACACAATAAGGCTTTTTCCTTTGCTTTTTACATAGGAAACTAAAATAATAAGTCCAGTTTAACTTCTAAATTCATTCAAATTAGAAACAAAAATAATTAAAAATTGTGATAGCATATTCTTTTTTGTTGAAGGATCTTTCACATTAAAGTCAGCAGTATTATTTGGTAAGTGGGCTAGAGAGTAGAACTTAAAAAATACATCCCTATCTCGGTAATCCCATATATTTAGTATCCTATAAGAAATGACCAGGCTGGGCATGGTGGTTTACGCCTGTAGTCCCTGCACTTTGTGGGGCTGAGGCAGGTAGATCACCTGAGGTCAGGAGTTCGAGATCAGCCTGACCAATACGGTGAAACTCCGTCTCTACTAAAATTACAAAAATTAGCTAGGTGTGGTGGCGTGTGCCTGTAGTCCCAGCTACTTGGAAGACTGAGGCTGGAGAATCACTTGAACCCGGGAGGCAGAGGTTGCAGTGAGCCGAGATTGTGCCACTGCACTCCAGCCTGAGTGACAGACTGAGATTACATCTCAAAAAACAAAACAAAACAAAAACAAACAAAAAGAAATTACCAAAGACCATAAGTTGTAAACTACAGAAGCTGAAGGCACCTTTATGATGACTTTATATATACATAATTACATGTATTATTTAATATATATATGTTTGTGTGTGTACATTCTTTTTTAAACACTTGCTTTTTAAACAGACTTATGTTGGACATATATTTCAATGTCAAAGATAGTGCTTTTCATTATTCTTTAGGTAAAATAATGAGGTGTACATGACTCTAGTAAGAGCTAATTGGAAAATAACAACATTTGACACTCCTTTTCTGTTTTTGTTTTCTTATTTTTTGACTATTAATTAAAAGGATGTGCAGAAAAAATATGAAAAATTAAGTGTTAATTTCATAGTGACAGATATTTACCATCTATTTTTTCTGAGCATAACATATAGTAATATAGAGCTCAGAAATTACTGGCTTAAATCAATGCTATTGTTTATTACCAAATTAACCATTACTATTCTAGTCATCTACTGAGCAGTATAGTTTCCAAATAAAACTTAAATTGCCACTTAGAGACCCGACCCTAAAGATGTAATGACATAAAGTGCTCAGTTTTGATAAGTGTATTTCACTTTGTGTACTGATGTATTTTCCTCATCTTGTTGAGCAGATACTAAAAGGTAAGAAAAGGGCTATTAAACTACAGCTATTAAGTACGATTTATTATTATTGAAAAAAAATCACCTTTAGCTCGACTGATAGACATTTCTTTTAGAAGGACTGAGTGTGTGCCTAAAACCACGACCTACTTCATAATTGGCTAATACCTTCAGTATGAACAAACTTTTTAAGAATAAACTGTTGTATGTGAGGCTATTTCTTTTATTAATATTTCATGTAGGGCATGTTTATAAAGATTTGAGAAAATTCTATCAGAATGTCAACCTTTTTGTATACTAAAATAGGCAAATATTAATTAAAACAAAGTGGTCTGGGGGATTGAATTACCCGATACTGACCTCCATTTTTCTCATCATCTTGTTAATGCAGTTCTTACTGAAATTAACATTTGTCTGAACTGTTCAAGAGTAACTAAAAAAAATCAAAGTTTGCATTTTATATTATTCATTTGCTTTACATATACAATCAAAGCACTCTAGCAGGAACAGATTGGTGTTTTTACTAATACAGGTGTATGTCAACTTTCTTTTATAGGGGAGATTTGCTTCAAAGAATTATACAAAAAGCTGGCATAAATATGACCACTCACAAAATGTGTTTAAATAATAATATGGAAAAATGCAACACAAATATGTAATGAATATTTGAAAACCCTAGTTTCTGAAGAGTTTAGATAGGGATTGTTTACATTATAATCGATTTGGTATTTTTTTAAATACCAGTGTATCCCAAAATAATTATTCGATTCACATGCTTTTCTCCGAAACATATTTGCTTTATGTAATTATTTAAAGACTCAGATCACCAGAATGAATTCAACCAAAAGCCAGGATTAAAAGAATGTAAGAGATTTGTCCAAGATCTGGGAATAAATTGAATCCTTCCTACTCATTTTCATCAGAAGCCCTCGCTTCTACATTCAGGCAGGAAGACCACTCAACTAAAGTTTAAAGGTTTACAAGGAAAATTCCTACAGCTTGCTTTAGGAGGGAAGGGTGGAGACCATTCTGTTTTACAGGACACTCCACCCTCAGCTATATCCCCTTGATTAATTATGTAACCAGATCTCCTTCATCAACTTACCAATCAGGTAATGGCAGGTATTTCTGATGCTTGGTATAGGATCTGAGTGAGGAGAGTCCTAAGAATATTACTTATAGCAGCTGTTTTGCATAGTATTAATGTGAAAAGATTTAACTTGCAGTACAAGTTAACATTTGTTCCAAAAGCTTTTTTAAAAAAATCTATTATTTTAGCATGTAAGTCTTATAGACGTAAGTCCTGTCTACTGATACATTAGAAAGTCTTAGAAAAGTCAGCGATTATATACAGGAAAGTGGATGCATAAGAACAAGCAAAAAGGTATTAGTAAGGCATTAGAAACTATTACCATCTTAGTAAAATAACTGGTGAATACAGCAAAATGAATAATTTGTGGTTAGTATAAATCAGCTAAATTCTTGAAATGCACAACTAACTACACATATTCTTCAGCCCACAGAGGCTGTACAATGGAGATTTGGGATTCTAACTTTGTTTTTAAACTGGAGAAGTGCAGAAACTTTGAATCTTTTTAAATTTATCTTCCATCTGTTTCCTGTAATATAAAGATTTAGAGCAAGGTCTAAAGCTTCATCTTACATAAAAGTTAGGTGCCTAATACGTCTCCGTCCTGACCTCCCATGGAAACAGTTATCAGGCTTCAGATATTTTTTCTCTCAATTGTTTAAACTTGGAAGTACATGGCTATTTATTTTTGCACATATTTCTTTCTATTGTGCAATTTTTCAACACATGGCGAAGTTGAAAGAATACCACAAATGTTTGTATACCTTTCACAATTGTGTATATGTGTGTGTGTGTATGTATATGTGTGTATATATATATGAATGCTGCAGCATGTATTTCCTGAGAATAAGGATCTTCTGTTACATAGCCACAATACCTCTATCACCTGTAAAATCCCGATTCCAGGACACAACCTAGATAAATTAAATAAAAATTTTTGTGGTGGAGCCAAGGATCAGTAATTTTTACAGTTCTCAAGTGACTACAATACACAACAAATGTTGAGACACTGTCCACATATTAATTAATTTGTTAAACATTTTCAGTAAAGAATACATTTTGTTTCTTAATATGAATAAGAATGATAGCCTTTTGAAGTTTAGCAAATCTAAATTATATATTTTAGGTCAGCGTTTTACAATAAGTTACTTTTCCTTAAGCTGTTCTTATCAAGTTAATAATTTTCTGTTAAATAAATGTATTTTATCTTAATTTCAGTTTCTTCTATATCATGATTTAAAATGCAGAAAGTATGTATTGTTATGTAGATTACAAATATATTTATCTCCAAAGTTAAATGGATTTTAGTAAAAATGATATTTATACATATATATTTTAATAAAATGTTTAATAAATTTGACATGAATCTTAGCACGTGAAACACAAAGCTTTTTTTATAACTTTCCCCATAATCAAATTTCAAATTAGTGAGAATTAAAGGGCCGGAAAGAAAAAAAATCGAAATCCAAACTTACTGCATGTTAACATTTTAATAATGTACTTTCACGTGTTAAAAACATTTCTTACAACAAAGCATTATCCATAAGTGAATTAAACGTTTCTAAATGTTTCTTACAACAAAGCATTATCCATAAGTGAATTAAAAAAATTCTGACTAATAATAAATTATTCCTATATTGTAGTTTCTTTGTCAGAATTAAGATTAGCATTATCTATTAATTACTTCTCTGTGGCTTCTATGACACTGTTGTATCCAAGCAACTAAAGAAGACATTAAGCATTTAGATGTTTATGTCTGTTCTTCAGTGTTAGGAGTAAAAGCAAGCAATGTGTAAACTGATTATTTTTAATAAATGAATCAGAACAGTTCAAAGTGAGATAAGTTATACATTTTAGACTGGAGTAGAAGTCACAAGACCCAGATTCTAGGCTATGATTAGCACAGCACTTGATCTCTCTGGGCCTGAAGTTTCTTACCTGTTAAATGCAGGATTTAGTTATGCCAAAGGTCCCAAACTTTCTCAGTTCACAGCATTCCTAGTGTCTCAGTAATTTTTTCATGGTGTTGCAAGCTAAAAGAAACACCTAACAGTTCCATTTATTAAACAGTTAAATCCAAACTTATGTTTGTCTGTCCTAACAACTTAGTAGCTATTTAAAAAGTAATATACATTAACATTTTTCATTCTTAATGGGATGTGCACATCTGTTGGGCACTTTATAACTTCTCAAATCTTGGAATAGACTTGGAATCCACTACCCTCATTCCTGTTCTACAGTAATTTTCCCATAGTCCTTGTGTTTTATTACAGCAATTTACAAAAACACAGCCTCACAAAGATATGATGATGTTGTCAAAAGGAATAAAGTACAATTTAATGTGTAGAAGTTCTGAACTACCTCAAGAAAGTGGTTTGCATGGTGTCCAACTGATGTCACTGTGTTGGCCTTGAAAATTTAAAATATTCCATGATAGTGCCCCTGTAAGTTTGTTGTGGTGTTCCTGGGGTGCCTCAGTACATAGTTTAGGAAGCATAGACTACCCTCTGTAAAATACTTCATATAGCTACAATGTGTGCTGTAAACTGTAAAAGCAGAGTATGAGTGAAATAGATAATTCTGAGGGCCTGAAGGAGCTGCAGAATTGAAGAGGAGATTAAAAAGTGATACACGTTCAGTCTGCATGAAATACCCCTTCCTCCCCAGGTCACCTATAAAATGCCTACCCATGCCTCAAAACTCAGTTCAAGCTCCCTCAGGGTAACCTCCCCTTACCAAGTCAAATCCACCTATTATACAATCTCAGAGTATTCATTTCACAGTACTTGTTCCGGTTGTAATTATACATTCATTTGTGTAACTATCTGATTAATTCTTGTCTCTCTCATTAGAATGGAAGCTCTAAGAGGAAAGAACATGTCTGATATCGCTACCATAACCCACAGTGTCTGGTATATTATATGGGGCTAAAATCTTGCTTAGTGAAATGAACTGCGATAGAATAGGTTGAGCATTCATTTTGATTATTTTCCTTTATTCAAGAACAGTTGATACTTATAATAGCATTCCTATAACATTTTTCTCATACTATTTCTCAGGAGAAAGAAACCCACATACATACAGCTGCATCTGAAACCTCAGAAAGTAAGCTCAACCCAATTGATTAAAAGGATGTTCTCTGGATAAGGTAATCAAATGTTCACTGACTCTTATAGCCAAATTAATTATGAGGAAAAAAAATCATGTAACTACAAAAAAAAAAAAAAAAAACTGCTCACAAAAAAATTTTTAAATCTTAGCAGACGGCCACAAACCATACTTTGAGAACCATGTTCCACAGTGCCAGTACAGGAAGTTTCTAGATAATGGCAGCTCATTTTTTTTAAATGGCATTACACTATACAAGTTTTATTCACATACTAGCAAAACTGTTAAGGTAAGTTCAGTTACCATCAAAATGAATTCTGGGAATTTTATTGATATTCAATTTTAATCTTAATTATGCAAATATCTGTTACTTAACTAAGACTGTGTAACATAATACAGCATATGACTTCTGGATAATGAAAATAACCCTAAAGTTAAACATAAAAAATAAGGGTATGAAAGTCAAAATAAGGTGGAAAATGACTGTACCAAATAGCCAACAACTTTAAAAGGGGTAGGATATTTTTAAATCTCTAAATTAAGATTAGTTCATTGCATTTAGTACATCTCTTTTATGAAAAGGAGTTATAAGCTACAGAATCAATATATTATGTTTTGATATAAAATTTTCACCCTTCAAGTTCCTAGCTAGGAAGAAATTACTCTTTTACATTTACACGTTTTGAGTAAGCACAGATAAATGAAGAAATGAAAGAGAAGGGAAAATAGAGATAGCTGATTTTGCCTCTGCAATTGCTAATTCATAAAATCAAACTTTCCCAGTGTACACTGTCTTCTTTGGGAATTTGCTCCATCTTTTTCCTTAAACTGAAAGCTGGCTTACTGAGGCTATCACTTTCCTATAAGATCTTCCCAAATACTGCCTAATTATTTTCTCTTATCACACATCCAGGATATAGAGTGGATGTCCACCTACTTCCCTGTTGTCACTTCCCAGATCACTTTTACTTTATGCTCTTCTAAAATTAAACAAAGATCATCAACTACAAAACACAGTTGTTCTTTTGTAGCTCATGCTAGAATACCCTCTTTGTTCCGTCTCCTTCATCTTTCTGATCCAAAATTTAGTAGCCTACTACATTTCACCCACCATCCTTCTTTCCTCCAGCTATGGTAGACAACTGCTCCTCCAACTTTATGTACATTTGAATCACCTGGGAGTTCTTGTGAACTTCGGGGTCTGATTTAATATGGACACCCAAAGAGTCTGCATTTCTTATAACTCTCATAAGAAGCTGTGGAGTACTCTGAACAGCAAAGTACTGGAAGTGCTGTTTCTGTTAGTATCTAAACTATTAGTCCTAATCTCCCATTTATGCTTTGGCACTCATTCCCTCCAGCTTTCGCTATCTTAATATCTATCATTCCTTAACTGTTCCCTCAGGTTCCCTACATAGTTTATCTCCACCCCTCTAAGCTGCTCAGTATCACCCATTAAAGAACTAAACCAAAACAAAACCAGAAAACCCTCATTTAACCCTTCACTCCCCCTACATACCATCTGATGTGTCTCTCATCCACAGTTAAACTTGGAAGAATTGTCTGCTTGAGGATGCCATTTCATCATCTCCAGCAATCCTGTACCCACTTCAATGTTATCTGCAGGCCCATTACCCCACCAACACAGCATTCACGAAAATTATCAATGACTACACACTGAGAAGACAAGAATGACATTTTCAGTTCTCATCTAATTTGAATTTCTCAACAGCATTCAATACTGTTAACTACTCCCAATATTTTTCCACATTGTCCTCCATGACACAACACATAATAGTCCCCTTATTATCTATTTTCCTGTCTATTGTAAAGACTTCCCCCCACCCCAAAAAAGGTCAAGAAAACCCCTAGCCTTCAGGTCTCAACTCAAATCTGGCCTTCTGAAGCCTCCCCAACTAGGAAAATATACAGTCCCATTGGTTGTCTACCAGTTAATTGTAATTCTTAGCCACAAGTCAGCTGAACCACTGTCTCTCAAACAGGCGAAGTTAAGCTCTATATTTGGCATATCTTGATATACTTTGTATAGTCTAGCTACAATGAGTTTGCCTATGCCCGAAGATGGCTACCGGCGGGGGGGCGTCGTTACGTCCTACGTCATCACGTGCCGGGATGAGGGTGGGGCCCTCAAGGAAGATGGAATGGAATCCAGATGGGCGGGGGCAAGCAGGAGGGGGCGGGGCTACGCTGGATCTGGGCGGGGCGGGGCCGGTGAGGGGTCGGGGGTGCTTGTGCTATTCAGCCGGTGCGCGCGGCGGCGGGAGGCAGCGGCTGGGGAGTCCCCTCGACGCTCTGTTCCGAGAGCGTGCCCCGGACCGCCAGCTCAGACCAGGGGCAGCCGTGTAGCCGAACGGAAGCTAGGAGCAGCCAGGACTGGTGGCTGGCCCCCGAGCTCCGCAGGCGGGAAGCACCCAGGATTTGGGAAGTCCCGGGAGCAACGCGGCGGCGCCTCCCTCACCCAAGGGGCCGCGGCTACGGTCACGGAGCGCTGCGCCACCGTAAGCGACCCAGGCCAGGATTCTAAATAGACGGCCCAGGCTTTTCCTCTGCCCGGGCCGCCTCACCTGCGGGCATTGCCGCGCCGCCTCCGCCGGTGTAGACGGCACCTGCGCCGCCTTGCTCGCGGGTCTCCGCCCCTTGCCCCCCCTTACGGCGCCAGGCCCGGGCAGCTCACCTGGACTGGCGCGGGCTGTGGGAGCCTGCGGTAGCCGAGGCGCGGAGGCGCGGCGCCCACGCCACTGTCCGGAGAGGACACAGGTGGAGCGGGCGCGGCTTCGCGGAACCCGGCGCCTGCCGCCGCCGTCGTCCCGACAGACACCGGGTCCCGGGGACCCGGCCGCCAGTGCCCGGGGAGTAGCCGCCGCCGTCGTGGGCTGGGCACCATGAACAGCAGCAGCGCCAACATCACCTACGCCAGTCGCAAGCGGCGGAAGCCGGTGCAGAAAACGTGAGTGTCCCGAGCGCGTCCTCATCGCGGGGGCTGGGCGCACAGGCACGCGGGTGCGGGAGGCAGCCCCACCCCGCCCCCAAATCCCTGCGATCCTGGGGATTAGGTTCATTCCCGGCACTGCCCGTGGAATCGAGGTTTGGAGGCCAGTCGGGAGACCGAGGACTTGAATTCTCGCGTTTTCAATGATTGCATTTTAAAAATTGTCCTTCCACTCATCCTCTTCCTCCGCACCGGTGCATACACACCCTCTCACATTTGTAACTTTGTTCTCTCTGATTTGGTCCTGATTTGTTGACAGCTCTGATCTGCCTTGGGCTAATGGATTAGTTAGTGTAAACCTGTCTTGAAATCTCCTTCCACTTTTAATATCTGCATGGGTTAGGTTAGAGGACAGTCTTAATTCTCATTCTTGGTAGAGTCTGGTAGGGCGAGATGTTTTAAAGAGCTAAACACGTGCTGACTTTTACGAAGGGGCTGAGTGCCTCTAAAGGTACTTTTTGGTCCCCACCTACTGGCTTTCTGTTGCGCTCTTATTTACTTATTTGGCAGCAGTTTTGTAGCGCTCATCGTGACCATATCGGTAAAGTGGATAGACGTGGTAGCAGGTGGGAGTGGATGCAACGGACAGGATACGGTAGAGGATTTGTATTCTTCAGACATCTTTTTCGGAAGCTTGCTTATCACTTTTGGGGTGGCTTTAGAGTCTGTAACATAAAAGATTTAGAACTGCATTTGAGAGAGGTTTTCATTCTTAACATTTACCTCTAATTCTTTTCCCCTTCGAAGTTTTGTTCTAATTGAGTGAGTACAAACTTGCTTTTGTCGTTGTCAGTTGATTTTGGTGGAATATTTGTGTGAGATGGCAAATACTTTATTTTCTTGTGTGTCAGAAAAAAGTATCCGTGCTGGAAACTTTTCCTGTTGTGTGGTGGTTGTATTCATGTGTTTGTTCCAATTTTTTTATTTCTAGTTTTATCTCTGAGTTACTTTACCTGCATGTTTTTCAGGTTTTCATAAACTATTTTAAGAACTCTTAAACGTCCTCTCACACCAAATCAGAAGTGTGCATTTTGCTTAGACTCCAACTGTCACTAATGGGAACCAGAAAAATAACACTTTAAGATTTACATTTAAAACCAGTTATTGGTTTAAAGTTTCATTCTAAAATTTTAGTTTCCTTTCAGAATTTCAGTTATCATAGTTCTTCAGAACTAGACTTGTGAATTGGCATTAACAGAGGGTAATAATTTGTAAATAGACTGATTAAAATATGGAAGTTTTATGGTACAGTGTGTTTTAAGGGAATGTTGTCAAACCAGCAGTTTTCTACCTTGGCAGTTTGAGACATCGGTTTATAATACTTTTAATTTTGTAGAATGATTTCTTATATTAAAGTATGTTTGTCTTATTTGACATTGTCCTTCATGGTTAAAGTTGGGAGGCATCCCAAATGTCTGTTCTATGTGTTTATTAATGCAATAATATACTTAGCATCATATATAATAGGGATGTCATAGGTTTTATGTGTATAGTGAGAAAACAGGAAGATTTCCCTGATGTGTTTTTAAGATACTGGGTTTCAGTTAGGGTGTTATAAAAGGACCTGGGTGGCTTTGTAAACAAAAACAAATGCCATAATTTTGTATTCATTATACAGTTTAACATTTATGGATTTTAGTTATTTTGCGTAAAATGTACTTTTTATTAGATTATCCTAATATACTTTCTTAGTCTTTAATATGCTTGTATTAGTTTCTTATAATATAACAAAAGTATTTTTCCCATTCACCCACATTTTATTTTGTTAGCATAGATGTTTATCAGATCTCTACTGAGCACCATATATTGCTTCTAATCATACAAATGCCTTAAATATCACCAGCTTCCTCTAAGAAAAGGCTAGTGCTGGTATTTTCTTTATCAAGTGAAAGTATATAAATTATTTTTACCTGAATGAAAAATTGTTAACTTTATAATGCAGTAAATCAAAGTTTATTTTAGAAATGAAGTCATTAAACTTGATATTAAATTTGAGTTTTAAAATTAAACTACTAGTCTGTGACCTAATGAGCCCTAAAACCTGCCAACATTGGGGAAATTAGATCTTGTTTTGAGCTGAAAATGCTATCCAGACCTACTTAACTTTGACCTCTTAAATGAGAGCCATTTTATGTTATTTACAGATAAAATATGCTGTAGCGTAATTATAGGACTGTTTAAAAAGACAACTATTTAAATATAAATTTTATGGAATATATATTCCATAAAGTTTTGGACTAAAGTAGTTGACAATTGTAACCTGAAGCTCTTTCAGTCTTGAGATGTATTAATTAAGAAAAATCAACCCCCCCTAGTGGCGGCTCTCACGTTGAAAATTATCTTCATTAGTAGGAAATACATTTTAAATGTGTTCAATTTAATCCCACTGAAGTATGTTGAACATAGTAGACTCTCAATAAATGTTTCCTTTCTTTTGGGAGTAATGAAAGTTGGGAAATTAAAGGCTCTGAAGCAACTTTACATCTAATTCATGTTCCTACTTTAAAGAAGAAAATATCAAAGATAACCTTCATTATAGAATCTACTTTAACTTTCCTTAGACTGTTGCCCCATACTTAGTAACCCTATTCAGAAAAAGAGAACAAATCCTGTGTTTATTTTATTCTCTTTGGAAACGAAAGTGTTTGTTTATTTTGTCTCATGAAGATAGTCAAAAAGGCCGTTATAGAATTAAATAGAATGTTTTTCCCTAGTGATAATTTTGGATATATTTTTGTATTTTTAAGGTTTTAATCATAAAGAATAAGTTGTAGTGGATTTCAGCTTACCTATACATAGAAAGTTAGCACTGTATGTTGGCAAATAATAGGTGTTGAGAAAAGGGGATCTACACTTTAAAATGATACCAGCTGTAGTGGTGATTAAGCCATCATGAAGTGTCAGAACTGAAAGTCACTTCTGAGCCTTAGCTGATCCTTCTTTAAAATGCATACTGATAAAAACTTTTACTTCTATTAACATATTAATAATAATATATAAAAGCATTTTCTGTCTTGCTATTCATTCTTTTTAAATGTCATGAATTTCATACATGTAATACTGAATTGTATTACTTACATAATATTCATTAAATGTTTTATATAAATTTATGGTGCTGTTTTTAAAATAGCATCTAAAATAAAAGAATGGGTCTTTTCATTTACACAATTATTTCTCCATCATTTTTCTTTCAAATGGCTTGATTTAGGTAGCATATACATAGTAGTTATGGACACTTGCTTGTTAGGACTATGAAATGAAGTAGGTGAAAGTGTTTAGTTATAGATGACACTAAATGGCAAAAAGAGGAAGCAGGTATAAATTGAAAGCACTGGATCTAAACTAAAAAATGAGGTCTAGTTTCTTCACTGTTATAGATCTGGGCAAGTTTCTCAACCAATAAAGCAGGACAGTCAGCACCTGTGCTGCTACTCTCACAACTAAAACAGAACAAAAAATATATATAAACTGTGAAGACTGCTAAAGATATAAATGAAACAGAAACATAAATTCTATTCTTTTAGCTTACATTATCACAGAACAATCAATTCTCCCGTGAAACAGTAAGAGGCAGTATATGATTATGTTCTCAATTACGACTACAGCTGAAATGTGCTACTTCACTGGTGAATAAATTTACATAGTACGTGCTTACTCATGTATTTAATTAAGACAGTTACTTAGAAGTAAATACCATACAAATCTTCTACAACAGTACCTTTCTACTTCCACGCTTCTTTTAAAATTGATATTTTGCTAGTGGCTTAATATAACAAAAAATGACTGTTTATTAGCACTTATTCTGATAAAAGCGTGCCCAGTTCTTTACATCATTTTCTTCATTTTTATAATAGTACCAAAGAAAGGTAGTAGGATTTAAGTTTATACATAGGGAACTGAGATTCAAATTCAGAGTTGCTCAGGTAATGAAAAAGAGTTTGGATATTGGATCCCAGGTTTTTTGGCTTCAAAGCTTGTGTTCTTACTGACTTGCGTTCGTACTATCCAGGTGAACAGATTCAGTGATGCATGCAGTACAGCCATATCTAGGGGTTTTCACTGTTTCTGCTCGGATAGTGTTACAGCTGAAATAAATTATTTGTCATTTCCCATACATGATTTGTACTTGCTTATCTCCATACTTGTGTTTTACATCCTTTCATCTTAGAGTCTTTTCTCCTGTCGTATGGATTTGCCACCTGCCTCCCTTCCCCTTTGAAACATTGTTTTTAAAGATGGCATAATACTCTGTTGTGCTAATATTCTGTAATTTATTTAACTGTTTTTGTTTTGGGAGGAAATTTTATGCCCAACCATTTAATACTTTAATATTTCAGAGAATACAGTTGGGACATGTAAATTTTTATGCAAATTCATTTTTTTAGGAAAAAATTCTTGTAACGGAATTTTGGTATAGTAAAGTATGTGTTGTTTTAAGGTTGAACCAAATTGTACACTCCAAGAGATAGTGTCAGATTAAGAAAAATTTGCTAATTACATTACCATCATCAATCTGGGGATGTGATGTATCTTTGCATTTTTGCTTAAAAAATATTATTGTCAATTTCATAGGCAAAAGTGTGGTTGGTAATTAAAGTTATATGCTGGGATCGTGGTTGTGTATAGGAGAAGCACTTATATTAGCAGATTTTCTACCTAGGTTGTCCTTTACGTATTCGTTTGTTTTGTCTTACATTTTTCAGTCTTTTAGTTTGTTCTTCTTACTTCTTTCTATTGAAATATTGTTTTAAAATGTATTCCTATTAAATAACACTGGCAGACTTCAAAAGTCAATTATATATGTGGCACATCTTAAGTATAGCATATTAGACCTTATCTTTTGATGTCTTACTGTGGTAGTTAGGGATTTTAGCCCTCTCTTGTCTCTCCTTAACCTTTTTCACCTTCCCCCATCCTCTCAATATATTTTATCACAATTTTAGATTATATACACATTA